CTGGGCAGCCTGGGCCAGGGGCTCACCCCCCTCAGCATCCAACATTTCTTCCTGTTTTTTTCTAGTCTAAATTTTCCTCTTTTATTTTCAAACCATCCCCTTTGTCAGACAGTGCTGAAAGGTCTGTCCTCAGCTTTCTTAGAGGCCCCTTGAAGTCCTGGAAGGCCACCAGCAGGTCTCCCTGGAGCCTTCTAATTTCTGCTGTGCACATCAGGAAACATCCACCTCGAGCTCTGTCTCCCTGGGGCAAAGAATGGGTTTGGAGCAGGGTGGTAGGATCTGTTTTTGGGGAAGTTCTCCTTTGCTTGGGGCCAGCAGAGCTGGAACAGGCACCACAGGCTGGGCCAGTCCCCCCCCTTGGGGCTCACCCAAGCTGCTTTCTGCTCCCTTTCCAGGCTCTGGACTGCTTCCGCCAGGCGGCCTCCGAGGTGGGGAGGGAGGAGTTCCTGGAGAGGCTGATCCAGCCCGAGGAGGGGGAGCTGCTCTCCACCCCACGCCTGCAGTACTACAACAAGGTACGGCCGAGCTGTGGCCCCACCTGCCTGCTCCTGCCCCTGGGAGCTGCTCCCCCCTCACTCCACGCTGGCTCTGCTCACAGGGAGAGCTCCTGCTCCAGTCCAGCGTTCAGGGAAGCGACTCCAGACTCACAAAACATAAGTTTTTTTGGGAGGTGAAAGCTCTGTTTGCTTTCTCTTTGGCCTGATGATGAGGCGAGTGTGGAAGCCAGGTACTTTCCACCTCTTCATTCCCTAGGAGCAGAGGACTTTGTTACCCAGCAGACAAAGGCAGGGTGAGATCCAGCTGCTGGAGGCAGAAGCCAGACATGTCCAGGCTGGATGAAAGGTGCTGCTTAAGGGGAAGGTTGTTAAGCTTTGAGGTGTATGAAAATAATTATCTTTAAATTGAGATAGGATCTTTCTTCCTCCATAATACCACAGTTTGGACAGGCTGTGAGCTTGGGCCTGGGCTTTTTGTAAGGGATTCCCTGATTTTAAACTCCAGAAGACACAAGTTTTGTGTTGTCTGGTTCCCCTGGAGAGGAAACTTTACTCTAACACAGCTCATGTGTGCTTAGAAACAATCATTTACCTCTGACACAGGGGTTGAGAGGAACCATTGGCACCAAAATGTTTCAGACAACTCACATGTGCAGAGGTGAATCCTTCAGAAAAGCTGTAGCCTGGGCCTGTTGTGCTGGGATTTGGTTCTGACCTCTGTGACTTACCAAAATCCATCCTTTTTCAGTCTGATCTCGGAGAGATTTTGCCAAAATCTTTTGATAGCTCTTATGGTTAGCAGGGGTTGCTCTTAAAAGCAAACAGAAACCACCAGCCCCTGCCAACCCAACCCCAGGTTCTTGTCTTCTCCAGGTTCTGCGCTTGTTGGACATGGTGGGGTTACCAGAGCTGGTCATCCAGCTGGCCACCCTGGCCATCATGGAATCAGCAGATGACTGGAGGAGCCAGGTACAGGCCACTTCTTTCACATCAAGATGTTTCTTCAGGGAGATGTTTCTCCCTCCTCAGAGATGATGCTTCTTTTCAGTCGTATAACTCAAAACCTGCTGGTTTGTGCTCTTTGGTGTTTTCAGGCTACTTTGAGGACTTGCATCTTCAAGCATCACTTGGATTTGGGACACAACAGTGAAGCATATGTAGCCTTAACCCAAAACCCAGATCCGAGCAGGTAGGTGACACTTCTAGGCCTTTAAGCTCACTTCTCTCAGGTCTGTGTACCAAATTTCCCATCAAACACTAAGGGAGGTGATGCTTTAGGGCAGGACACGGCTGCTGTGATAAGAGGTGCTGTTTTACCTGGTGTAAAGGTGTGTTTAAGAAGAAAATAGCTGATTTTGGCAAGGGCAGCTGGCTAACAGATTGGTGCTATCTCAAAACAGGGATGAGCCAAAAGAGTGGCTCAAGGATCACATGTGGCACTGGCTGTTGAAAAGCTTTGAGAGGCCAATCAGTTGAATGAAAGATTTGGAGTTGTATTTTCAGCTGGGAGGTGACCTGGGTAGAGGAGGCCTCACCTGAGCACAGGAAAGGCTGGAACAGATGTGCAGAGGAGAAGCAGGAGCTCATTTTAATTAAGGCTGAAGAAAAGCCTACCAAATAGAGCTGAGGGAGGGAGCCTGCCCTCCTGAGAGAGCTTTGCAGAGGATCTCTGCTCTCCAGGATCTCCACTTCCAGGGCTTCAAATCCATTCTGAAGGGAATTCTTGTTTCTCAGCCAGAAAAAAAAAAACAAACTATGGAGCTCATCATGTCAGGGCTTAAAGCCTGAGTCCTGGAGATGCTCCTCCAGAAGGGCTGTGCTTCTCTCTCCCAGGCAGCTGGACTGTCTACGCCAGCTAGTGGTGGTTCTCTGCGAGCGCTCCCAGCTCCAGGACCTGGTGGAGTTCCCCTACGTCAACCTCCACAACGAGGTAAGGGGGCTGCCTGGGGAGGAAAAGGGGGAGGAGGGGGGCACAGCCAGGGCCACACTCCCCCCTGGGGGGGCAGGGACCCATCAGAGCCTCGGTGTGCTGCAGGTCGTGGGGATCATCGAGTCGCACGCGCGGGCCGTGGACCTGATGACCCACAACTACTACGAGCTGCTCTACGCCTTCCACATCTACCGCCACAACTACCGCAAGGGTACGGCCTGGGGAGGGCACCTGCTGCCCGAGAGCCTGGCACAGGGCAGCCTGCCCCTCTGCCAGCTCTGGGGAGACCCCCCTGCAGTGCTGGGGCAGCTCTGGAGGGCTCAGCACAGCAGAGACAGGGAAGCGCTG